TGAGAGAGTGAAATCTTGGATTGAGCTTCCGTTCATTTCCCCTTCCATTCAACTCATTGGTAACACCATGAACTGACATATTGTGGATAGTTGCTGCACCACAAGGTTATCATGTGTACATGTACAAAGCCTGAGGACGGTATGTTACTTCGTGGTGCACCAAAACTATCCTATACGTCATGTCCTGGCGACACCGACAAACTGTAAATACCACCAGGGAATGAATGATTCTCCAACTATTGATGCTTCTGATGGTGTTCCACCCACATAAGCTTCCGTCCACACATCATGCCAATCAACCAAGCCGCACTAATCCCAACCCAACAGGCATCCCCCATCAAATCCAACCACTTGGTTATTATTTCGGCATACTTTTTTACACCTCACTCCCACTTTTGCCGGGTACATGCAAATAACACTGGGGGTCCATGTGAATAGGAAACAGTCCACAGAAGCACTCACGGACCCATTTGCTTGTCCTTCTCATTCAACGATGGTGTTGGGTAAATAATTTTGATCCTTAGCACTATCTTCACTATTTCATCAGGGAGAAAAAAAAAAGGCCCAGGGAGTAAGCAGATGATTGAGGAACCTCTTCAGCAAACACTGGGTGATGTCTGATCAACGACATGCTACTGTGTGTGAAAGCAGGTCTAAATGAAGCTGGCTCATGCAGTCCGCTAATTAGCAACTTTATTCAATAGTAAGAAAGGAGAGGTCACCATCCAAGGTGCCTCAGGAATGTCTCTCACCAGACATGCAGAGGGGTCCAGGAAAAGTATGGGAAATTTATTGATCAAACTGACTCTTTCACAAGTAAAATGTTTCTCTTGGACGCAAATGTTTGGGTAATAGCTAAATGGGTGCAATGTACTTTATGGGAAAATAAACGTTGGCCATTACAATATGCATACAAATATTTGACAAACACAAAAACATATGAAAATGGTCGATTTTCAAAGTTGTCCATTACTTTGGCCTGTCACGATAATGCCTTCTTTCAGATGAGAAAGAAAACTTACAGCAAATGACGCGAAGGGTAATGAGTGTATAGGACAATGCAATCAAAATACAGAGTCTGCCAGAGCAACAGGCTTGCATCCAAGGGATGTCTGCAATCAAAACAACATGGCACTGAGGGCAGGCAGATGAAATGCAAGCCATTGAGGAAACATTCTGCCAGACAGGATAAAAATGACTTTCGGCACATGGCTCCACTAAATAATGCATACTCTGTCTTCGTCTTACCTAGAGCTCCAGATTGTCTTAAGTCTACAAGAGACCAGTACAAGGGAAGGCATACTCTGAAAATCAAAGGAGATAGAGTGCATGCTGGTCCCAGATCCTTGATAGTCTGTGTCTGCCCCTTCATCTCATTCATCCCAGCTACCCTCCCAACTGGCACAAAAGAGATCGCATGTCTCTGGCATTCCAGACTGACTCTTGTGTAAGTGGAAGGCATGCCTTGCTTTGATCGAAACTCTTAAGAGTATATCCCTATGACTATTGTCAAGGTGCCAGAAGCTGCCAGACCATTATACTCTCACTCTGAATACTTCACCTGTTTCCCCTTGTTGTTGTTGTCATAGTGGCATGCCGAGAAATCTCTGATGGGTTGTTGCATTCCAAGAGGACTTAATTTTCTCTAATCAGATTTTCATTAAATCCCAGCTTTCACTATGACCTGACTGCATGTGTATTTTCAGTGGATCCTGAAGGATTTCTGGTGTGGTGCTGAGCAAAGATGGCTGAGCTTCATTTCAGGCAGGTGCCATCTTTTGCATAATAACTGTCAATGACTGCCTGAACTCACTCTGCAAAAACACAACAGAATCTGTGCACCCTGCCATGAAAGCACAAATAATGACCAAGAGTTTCCAATTCTTCACCAAAGTGTAATGTTACTAAGTCAAAACTTCACTAAGTCATACTATAACCAACCACGGGTTCCTACTAAAAAGTAAATGTTTGTCATCATCTAGTTTTAACTGTGCCCGTTTTTGATTCCTTGAATAAGAGGCATTTTTATTCTTTTTATGGAGAATTAGCCCTGAATCTCGAGTGACTCAGTGTACAGTATTCAATGACTTCAGGGGTGCGTATTGTAAGTCTGATGCCTCACAGGCCCGACGCCTCAAAACTTCAAATTTTCGGACTTACGAGGCGTCGGAATAAAGAGGCATCAGATTTATGGGCAATTTTTTTTTCAGGCTCATCGTTCCGATGCCTCATAAATCCGACGTCGGACCAACGAGGTGTTGGACTTAATAAGAGGCGTCAGTGCAATTGACTGTAAAACATGGAGGAGAGTGGGCTCACACGATGCGACACTGTGTGTCATAAATAGTGCACCATACTTGACACTGGGAACCAGTCTTGTTTCTAGTACTGTCCTCATACGCTCGTAACGAGTGTCAAATCAAACATTGGACTTTCGAGGTGTCAGATCGTTTGCGGCATTGGATCTACATCATGGGCCAAAAAACTATTGGAACTTTTAAATGCATTTGTCGGACTTATGATAGATCGGACCTGTGAGGCGTCAGACTTACAGACTTTTTTAAATGCTTTTTTGGGACTTATGAGGCATCGGATTTACAAACATAGCTTGCCGAGTTTTAATATTTTTCCCACAAGACAAGACACTTAAAGATTGATACTCAACAGGTGTTCTTTCTTTACATGTGCATACTGTTCTGATTCCATGATTCCAGAGAAATTTCAGATGATAAATGTGAATGATTTACATAAGTAGGATGACCAACTGTTCTCAGGAAACCTTAAAAAGGTTGGATTTCAGACCCCAACTTATCAACATTTGAATGTGCCTCAAAACCAAACATACTTACACATCTCTGCAATAAAACAGCTGGAACTCAACGGAGGGAAATGGATATCATTTTCCATCCATAAAAATGATTTAGGACTATGTGTGGCTTTTGTATCTGTGAGCCAAAGGTTCCAAAGCTCATTCCAACAAGTAAGGTGTGTTTAGGGAGGGGGGTCATCAAAATTTTAGGGTCAGGACCATAAATTTACCAGACCCTCTAAACTCCACAGACTCCTAGACATATCACATGGCAGGAATGACTGTTGATTGAAAACATGGGATGGTGCCATCTTCAGTTCACCTTGCAGTATGAATGCCCATCCTTGCCTTACAAAATAGTTGAATGCTCCACATACTCCGAATTCCCACTTTTGTTGGGGGGAATTGTTAGCCTCTCATACTTTTTCACCTGGACAGCTAGTGTTTGAAGCTTGTACCTGTAAGCTCTCCATTGTACCATTGTTGGGATGGATCACTATGCATGCTACCCTTGTGCCGGAGTCTGTCTTGATGCGCTCTGTTCACTCGACTGGTATAAACACTGGTAGTCTATTCTTCACTTGAAGGATCTAGGGACTATAAAGCAGCTTTGCAGAAAAAAAGGAGAATGCTGTTTGGGAAAGTTTTACCATTTTTGGCATATTTGGAATTTCTCCTGAGCAGATTGAACGCAAAAAATGTCAGGCGATTTCCTGTGGATTCAACACTTACTTTCACTACTGGCATACAGCAAAGCTTATCAAGTAACCCAGCTTCACGAAAAATTGCTAAGAATTTTTGGGGTGGGGTGCTAGTGAGTTAAACATTAATGGACCTGCATAATGTCAATGCACATCTGTGTTACTGCACAAATTTATGACTCACACAGAAAGATGTGATATCTCTGGAATCTAAACTACTGAGAAAAGGCTGAGTTTGAGGAAGGGAACTAGGAGGCAGTGAATGCAAGAAATGTTAGGGAAATCCCCAGTTTCTTCTGATATTTCCAAATAAAGATATTTCCCTGAAATCAAAAGAGGGGATTTTTCTACAGATCTCTCAAGGACATCCATCGAAGCAAAGGAAATTAAGACCTAAAATCTCACGGCATACTAGGAAACTGGCAATCTGTGAGTCACATCAGGGTGTCAATCATAATTATTATGGGTAGGGAAAATGTGATTGAAATTACTAACACCCTCCCAGAAGAATCCTATACTTCCTCATCAGAGAAAGTTACAATATCAAAGGTTAAATTCATTTCCTTCATATATAAACAACATTTTTTTCCACAAATTATTCTGAAACTTTGGGCAGTGTTATAAACCACAGTTCTGGGTTTGTTGAGCTGCAGATTAGGGGCAAGAAAAGAAACCTGGATTGCTATCCTTAACAGACATGGGATGGATATGTCATTTGAATTGGGTCAAAGTCCCAATAAACACTAGAATTTGTTCAAATAGTCAGAAAAAATATGTGTCTCACAGCAATGAAACACACGAACTAAGGAGCCAGTGGCTCCAAAAGAACAAAGGAATGCAGACTGTACTCCCAAAACACAATGAGGTGCAAGTACGTCACGCTTGGACTTTGAACAAGCATTCCTGAACTTCAACACATGTTGGGGTTAAATACTCCAGACATTATTCCACCACAGAAAAATTCAGAGCTTTCTGGCAATGTTTATGTACAGGAAGTATTTCGTCAGGTTTTCCCCGGACTGAGATGGGAGCTGTTTTCTGGTGACTGATGTAACTTGGTAAGCTGACACCATGCAAAGGTTTTACACTCTACAGAAGGGCATAATTTGAAAGAGTAAATTCTTGAAAATTTGAAGTGGGGTATCAGTTTCCAACTTATCAACTCTAGACTTAGTCATCCGGTTTTAAGTGGAAACCTCACTGATTGAGTTTGTAATGTTCAAGATAGGATTCAGTCCCCAACAGCCCAGGAGGTTAAGAGAGGGATGACTCAACCATGTCAACTCCAAAGTGATTTTTAACTACATGTATCTCTAGACACTAAATATGAACAAATACATTACTGGGTTAAAATTGTGCCTTATTAGGTCACATTTACATATTTACTTAGTTCTGATCGGTATAAAAAGTTTCAACATTCTCTCCTGGGAAGAAAATCTGATCATTGATATTTTCATTTGCAGTTACCAGCTGCCTTGAAAAATCACGTGCAGGTCCACGTTCTGGATGCAATTTCAAGTAACCTGCATTATTCATTACAATTTAGGAACCCCCCCTGAGCATTGGATTCTTTTCACATTGATGACAGATAATAACCACCAAACCAATGTCAAACAACCAAACAGGAATCCTTGCAAAAGTGATTAAGGCAGCACTAAACCTGAAAGTCCTTGGGTGCCATTTACTACATCCAAAAGAATACTATATTTCCATGAGGGCTGAGAACCCGGTAAGCATTAAGTGAACAACAAAATCACTGCAATGAAAAAGAGTCCATGCTAGGCTGCTCTGAATTTGATTGGTCCAGATTTCCCAGCCACATGTGCAGTGTCAGTCATTCATTCCAGGGCAAGCCCTAGAGAATCACCTCCCATCATCCTTACCTGGTCCCTACCTTGTCTATTAAGCCCCCACGACCGCATTGTTGTTGGCAGTTCAATTGCTTCAGCAACCGCAGGCTAGGCCATATGCATGATATAGTTCACTACTGGAGTGATTCACACGGAGGGGGTCACTCACACTAGATGGAACAGCCAGTGAATCTTGCAAGGATAAATACAGGGGGGCATGGCAGGTTGACTTCAGTTCGTCAGCAGGAACTGCACGTGTTTACACCCAGCCAGAGAAATACTGTGGCAAGTTGTGATACTCTAAACACGCTGCCCATGTCCTAACTGCATCAAGTGAATGAGCAGGTACATGAGCTAGCGGTTTTTGACTTGAACCTCAAGCCAATTGATTTTCCTGACGAGCCTCTTCATTTTTCGGTCAAGATGGATTGCTCATTGCTAAGTTTGCTTCTTGTTGTCTTCATGGCATACCTTCAAACGTCACAGATTGTATTAGGATGTCAATGTGCTCACAGACATCCACAACAACACTTCTGTCAAGCCGAATTTGGTAAGTCATTTTCCAGAACTATTAATTGCATTAAGTTAGAACATTTAGTTCGAAAGTGTAACAAATTCTCTTCTGTGAATAGAAGACCCCTGTTACTGTGGATAAATATGTAAACATTTTTCAAGTATTAAAGGGCAGAACAATATCATATTTTATGGAATTTTCTTAAACTCTTGTATATCTTTTGAGAAAAAAAATTTACTATGTCATGCCCAGTTTGATGGAAAGACAAGATACAAAATGAAGAGTTGTACTACTAGCTGCAAACCTTTGACACTCAAATGACAGGGCACACAGCCTGAGGCACATGCTTAGCAAATTCCAAATTTCCTTCCCATCCTTCCTTCACCCATGATCCATCCAATCACTTACTCCCACACCTGACCACTATACAGGATAAGTGTTGACAAACAGGGTCCCAGGTTACAGCCAAAATCAATCTGGCAAGCCTCCAACAAGCAATTTGTTGATGAGTGGACTGCACTCACAACATGGAGGTAGGAAAATATCTTGCTAACCATACCAGTAAAATTTCGCAATAGCAATCAGCGAATTGTACAGATCATCGCGGAAACTTGAATCATGCTCAACTGAAGTATGTTCCATGGATTCTGTTTTAACTTGGTTTGCAAGACTTTTGTGATAGTGCTTACAGCTCTGTATACTGAGTGTGTCATTCTGTAGCAAGCACAGCCATGCAAATGGGCCCCAATAAGCAAGGAACTCCACAAATGTAGGCCTAAAAGCAACCCTTCAAGATAGTTGATAACAAACCACCTTACCGAATCCATATGGAAGGTCGACATGGTCTATGCCTTTAATGCATGGCATTATGTGTTTCTTTTTTAGTGAATGGAGGGTTGATGCATTGCCTAAAATATAGTCAATCCAAAGCAACGAAAATAATGCCGACAATCAGATTACACAAAAATTGCTAAGGAGCATTTCAAAAGTTTTAAATTTGTACAGACATTTTTATCTGTCTCCCTAACCTGGCACTAGATCTTTTTGACAATCACGTACAGCCAATGTTTGATCTAATCATACGAGGCAAGGAACTGGTTCTGGGATACAACCCATAGGATGAATGAGTGCCTAAACAGCTACCTAATTAGATTTCTGTATGCCTATTCCTGCATGCCTGGGCACAACTCTTGAAAATCGGTCCTTGGGCACTGATGAAAAAAACATACAGGTAGAGGCCAAAAGGAGAATATAGTACTCCAGTTGAGTAAATAACAGGCGAAGTACATCTCTCTCCAGCTATGAAAAGTAAACACAAGAGGGGAAAGTGCACTGCATTGGGCATACTGAAGGCAGTTCAAGTGGATTTCATCTTAGGGATCATCGAAAACTTCTGCTGGTGTTTCTGGAAAATCCATTGCTTGACATATTGAGAGTTGCAAAATATCCAGATGTAAAACTAACAAGTACATTTATAAGATTTGTTGTGCATGTGTGGCTTTCTGCTGTGTGTGGACAGGGAATGTATGCAAAACCGTACATGGGAAAAACTAAATTATTTTAATTGAAACCAAGAAAGGAGGTCGTGCATGTTTATTTTCAAGGGTGAGTATAGAACTTGATGAGCCAGTGGTCTTTGGTCTAGTTTTGAGAAACTGCAAGATCACCACTGAGTTTTCTGTCTGTGCCCCACAATATTTATCTCAGGCCCCAAAATACCCCTCCCCACACCTCTGAAAGACAAGATGATCAATATCCCATCGGCTTATGAAATTGACAACTTCCCATTGCAGCAGCTGAAAACAGAAGCTACGAAAACATTCCTTCCTTTCCGGGAGTTGAAACAGTCAACATCATCTAATTGGTCCTTAAGATTCAGAGACTGTACACAGAAATGTAAGGACCACCAGTACAGATATTGTTATTTTCATGTTTACACCAAATTTAAAACAAAAACAGAAAAGAACAATAAAAAAGACTGTCTTATAATCCGAGAAAACATTATCTTGCCTGCTGCGGCACCAAATGATGCTCCTCCAAGGACAAAAACGACCATCAGATTTTTGCGGGGTGTTGGCGGCCAACCAAGGATTTTACAAATATAGAAAAGCACTGTGGTGCCTCATTAGGCAGTACTTCTATTTTTGGCTTCTGGGATGCAACCAACATGCTACCACATAATAGACACTGATCACAATCCTAAGACCATCTATATAAAGCAACAGACAAGCAATGAAGACTTAACAATCCACAGACAAGTCTTTTTTCCTGCAGTAATGAGGCATCATTCTTTTGCTTTTTTCCTCCTGTGAAATTGTAAAACCATGCCTATTTTAGAATAGGTCTACTTTCAGGCAGATTCTGCCCCAAAGAACCCAGAGGTATTCACTAAAAACACAAAATAGATTACCCTTATTTCCAGACACACTACTAGAAAGAACCTCACACTTTTCCAAAATCAACATGTCATTCAGCCACAATGTAAACCACAAGGCAAGGCTACATAGCAGAGCGATCTATTTTGTGAGGTGTCCCTCAAAACCCGTTGGGGGGAGAGAGGCTGTGTTTGAAAATAATGAAGTTTGCGTGAAGAGAGACGAACCACAAACTCCACAAGAGCAAACAGGGTGCCATCTTCCCAAAATAGAACAACACTGGAGGATTTTGCCGGTGGTTTCTGAACCCAGCAATCGGGCAGGGCTCCTGCAAAGGGTCCAAACTGGCCCTGCTCTTATGAAAGAGCTAGCATTCCAAGCATTGATGGCCTTTCAGCTAAAGGTCACAAACACCAAAGTGTTGATCCCCTTAGCAATTCCCAACAATCATTCACCAGTTACAATCAACAAATAATTACTGGATTTTTTGCTGCTGCCATCCAAGGCCCAGTGATTAATTACACAAGGTCTCCACCCAGTAGACCCACCGGGATCGCTTATGACAGTGTTTCCTGAACAATTAACTTATCCATGTACTGTCTATGGGTGATTGTTTGACAGCAAATGTACGGTTACTCACAAATGCTTTTCAAACCTTAAAATTCAGTGGAATACAAGGTTGGGGGACAAACCACAAACTGCAAACAGCTTTAACAAAAATCAAACGCCTACCGTTCATTGTGATACTTCAATTGAATAATGAAACCCTGAAAATTTAAGGATGGTTTTCCAAGGGCAAACTTCCTTGTGCCAACATTCAAATTCCTCTCATAAGATGTTTTCTGCTATGTGCCTGATAGCTTTGCCATCAACAAGTGGACTGTTTCAAAGTTGAATACCCTGCAGAGCCCTCTCAACACTCAAAGTTCATTCCTAGAAAATGTTGACTGATGACTGTTTTGTTTGTGGATAATTTTACCTAACCAAACGAAAATGGAAGCCCACAGTACAGTAGCACTGTGTAATAACAGAAAATAAAATCCCCACGCAACAAACCAAACAAAGTTTGCAGGGATATCATTTTGAGCACAGTACAGAGCTGTGATTGTCTCATTACCAGGAACACAGATCAGCTCAATTTACCGAGGGCTTTTGAAACAAGTTTGCATCTTTTGTTGTTGCTTTGAGAGCATTTGTGAAAAGGAAGCAGAAAGGAGCAATCTCCTTTGTTCAATGGGCTGCACCGATCCTACATGAAACCTGAGGAGTGAACTCTTATCAGTATTTTAGTGCAGCATTCATGGGGCTTGAGTGATTGTAACTGACATGCTGAGCTCAACCGGTAACCATCCTTCCTAACAACCAAACTCAGGAAAGTAAACTTTTCTCAACCAGGAAGCCTCATTAACACATACTGGCACATCCAGGGTAGTTTAAAAGAGTGGCAGACATGACAACCAAAAAAAGGGGGGGGCAGTACTGGCTTCAGGTTAATGTGCTTGATGACTCTCTGTGAATGGTAACAGATTCAGAGCTTGAAATGGAATGATTTGATTTACATCTGTAAAATGGGTTATTTGTAAAATGTTTGTTTTGATTTTCATTTTTGTACTTTGAAGTGTCTAGTGGAGTATCTTCTGGTCAGACCCATAACTCATCTCACTGAGGACAAACAAATTCGTAGAAATAAACAACTTGATTCAACTCCTAGCAGAATGTCCTTTACGATTCTCCAAGTATCAAACACAGGCCACAGAACTTACACTTTTACAAATGAATAAGTAAACTTTTCTTAAAATCTAAAATCAATTTTTCCTCAATTTTTAATTAGTTTTCCTGTCAACTCAATACTTATTCATGCCAAGATCCTTCACAAATGAATTAGTAGGCACTTCTTACATTTTTTCCTTCATTTTCCCCTAACATTCCACAGTTATTCGCGCCAAGATCCTCAGCAAGACCTACGAGCCAATTAGTCCATCACAGTCCCTTCCCACCACCCCTCAGCCCACGACGAAACCCCCCTGGAGGTTTCCCGCAGTCAGCAAGCTGAGGATGGCCAAACCTCCCAAGATGCTCCGCCCCCTATCAGAGGGGGAGATGGAGTCCTGGAACACCTGGGCCATGAGGCTGAGGTACACCGTGCAGGTGGAGAAAGTGTACAAGGGGGAGGAGCGGATACTAGCCAGGAGCAGGATTGAGATCATCAGCCCAGCTGACAGCGGCATGTGCGGCGTGACCATGCTGGACGAGGGCAAGAAATACTTGCTGACAGGTTAGAAGATCACTGTAACACCTTAAAACTTCTAAGATTGTCTTATTGTCCAATACTTTCATGGTGCACTTGGGTAAGATATCTCAGCATATGGGAGTGAATGGTCGTTTGTTTTCAACACAATGCAAGTACCCTTGCTTCTTTGGAGTTACATCTTAGTCAGCATTTGAAGATTTGGTTCTAAATTTGCTTTAGATGAACGAGTTGGGCATTTGATTTACTTACACATAACGGCTAAAATGGCCTGCAGGGTGAACAGAACTTGACCGGAATCTAATACCTCAGGGATGAGCTCGTGGTGCATTATACATATGCAGTCAAATATGTTGTTATTAAGTGGTTTGTTGCTGTTTGATTTATGAATTCATAAAGGGCAAGAGACAAATTCTTCCTTACATGTCAAAACAGAGACATAAATTCTGACAGAACCCGGAATTGATGTAATTTGAAGTGAGTCTGTCTTTAAACAGACTTGTGGCCTGTTTCCCTTCTAACTTGGGAACCTCTGGGACTAAGCACACTCAGCAACCGGCAAAATCATAAAAGAAGACACTTCTTGTAAAAGGAGGTCATTTTTTTAAATAGGTCAAAATCTAAGTAACTCCTTGATGATTTCTGTGACACATTGGCTGAAGTGCAAAGTATATACCAGACCACTTCAAACTTTTTGGAAGATGTCACTTTGAGCAGGGTGTGCATTTCATTACGGTGCACAGTTACTATTAAATAGTGAGTTTTATTTTGTCCCTTTTCAAATACAGTGATGTGAGTTTTATTTCTTGTCATTTTTCAATAAGGTGAACAAAGTAGTAGTCTTAAGAAATTATGACACTTCTATTTGCAGCAATAACAGAGTATCCCAACAAGTTTTACCTTTTTATGGAAATAAACAAACAAAAAATAAACACCGTGAGACGCAGGTGGAAAAAAGAAAAACACCCCCCTAAAAAATAAAAAATAAAATAAAAACTTAGTTCTAGACGATTTGTCATTCCAACATTCTTCCCCTAGAAAAAATAGAATGTCCTTTGAGCACCTATATTGAGACATGCTCTAATGATTTCCTGATCTCCTACAGGAAACTTTGCCGAGAGAGGTCCGACAATTCATCTTTGTGACTGGGTGGCTGAGTCACATCTCGTGACCAAGAGCCAGCGACAAGGACTGAAGTACATCTACAAGAAATACTGTGATGAGTGCACTGTACGTCAAACCACAACTTGTTTACAAAAATACACCCAACTGGGCTCAAATCCTATTGTAATTGCTCTTGGAGGCCAGGGCTCTCTTGAAGGCTAAATTGATTTGAAGTAACTCGTGTCATTAGAGGGGTTACAACAACCTCATTAATATTATTGAAAAGAATTCAATGGCAGTTAGCCTGTAAATACCCCCACCACCAAATGACTTATCAACAGCTTCTGAAGGTGTACCTGGTGGGCTTGTATCACCTCATAAACAATTTATGAACACAGCTACAACAGTATTGGTATAGACACCTGCTGGAGTCTAGTCTATCACCTGTTGGGCCGATCAATGATGGGGCTACTCTAATTGATCAATAAACCACTCATTACATTAACTGCTGTTTACTAACAAAGTGGAGGGATTTATAGATTTATTGATAGTGGCGACTGGTGGTGACAAACACTCTGTGGTATAAAAACAACTGAGTTAAGTTTTAGTGAACAAAAAAAAATTGTTAAAATTCAACTTTCCTAAGAATGACCAACATGTGAAGCCCTGGCAAACTCAGCTTTAGCTTTATTGAGACATGCCTACTTTCGTCATCTCACAGATCAAGCCTGGTGTCATATATTGGCCTCCGGAAGCCAAGGAAAAAGACGTCTGCGCTTACAACCCCTACTTATTCCATGAGGATGACTGTGCAGCCCTGCACTCTGCCTGTGTCCGTAGACCAAGTGGGGTTTGCGAGTGGCAAGTCACCAACAAAATGAAACGGTGTCAGAAGGGGAGCGACTTGAAAATGAGGCCAAGAGGAAGACGTGCCAAGAGCAAGAGGGTTGGTACTGTATGAACCGCCAGAAAAAAATGTTTTAAAGCTAATTTTGAACTGCGACAATCACACAATTTTGAGTGTTCCTTCAAATGCTTGTAACTATCTTGAGATCATAGACCTGTTCAGGACCAAATGAATTTGGCTTTTGACAACCCTTTTTTGTGGAGCAGAATTGAGCAGACTGGGTAGACAAATCTGAAAAGCTTTTCTGTGAAAGAAAAAGAGAGGAATATCAAGTCATGGATTAGCCTGACAAACCAATTGAGGGGACTAAAAACGGTTCAAATATTACTGGCTATCACTAAAGTTAAATGCATGAATGCAAATATACTGATAAAAAGAAGAAAAATATCTGCCATTTCCTCCATTCAGCTTGAAGGTTTCGTCGTATCAGAAAAAAATCTACAAAAGTATTTAATGTTTATGATTTAAACAACCCTGTAAATTATTGGATGCTAAATTATATCTTGCTCTGTAAATAACCCTCTGTATAAATTCTTGGACAAATGTTTGTGGACATACTATTGTATTTTTTAACTTAAATCCAAATGCATCATACTGTTCTGATGATTACTGTTACCCTGAGTGGCCAATACCTCAAACTGCTCTTATCGACAGGTGTCTTGAAAACCCCTAAATTGTGGGGAGGGGAGCCATGAAGCTTTCTAAAATAAGATACCTCCAAGGACAAGCTGGCCCAGAAAAACTGTCTGACAATTTTTCCTCTAAATTGGGAAACTGGATTTGTGTCAACTCAAGAAAATGAACAATTTGAAAAAGCTTAACCTTATTACTAGGCCCATGTTTTTTTGGAACGGGTCACCTGGGATGTGGTGGTTATTTGACTGCTTGTTCAAAGCTTGGGAATGAAGGCATGCTACATGGCATACAGTCATGTTGTACGGACAAAGATCAACAGCTTAATCATCTTGCAACACAGAATATGTGTAATGTGATGGTTACCCCGGGAGGACTCAACTGTGTGAGTTGGACGCTGCATGCTGCCACATCCATCAAGGGGCAATGTGGGGCCATGTCCACAATTGGCATTACTGGCTAAGTCTACAGCTGTTCTCCATAGTGTGCCATTGGCAAAGAGCAAAGCTGTAAGCCACAAAACACCTACATTTGGATGTGGTCTGTTGCCTGCCATCAGTTGACAGGGACAGTATTACAGCAGCAGCCAAAAGTGAACGTTAAATGATGTAAAGATTACAACACTGCTGTAGCTTAAGCATGCAGCTCTGACCCAACCCAAAACTTACGAGTGACCTCACCTACACTGTATGCCCCACCCATCCTCTTCCAGGTTACATGCTGGCAGACTTTGCCCGTATTCTTTTGAATATCATTTTATATTGGGAAATGGAAACAACTGTAGCAATCACCCATTTACAAACACCTTAAAGGGTCCATGCGGACCTCCCTGAATGAATAGCCATTTTCTTCTTTATGTTGTGCCTGGATATGTCAGTAACAGTACAAATGGTGAAAAAAATTAATAAAATGTATTTAATTATCGTTAATTGTGAGAGACAGTGAAAAAAGTAGGCAGGTTTATATTTTTTCTGTCCGTTTCACTGAGTCTTGACATATCTACAGGTTCAACCTGTCGAAATTATATCCATTGTTACTGATGTCATCACTCCCTGACTTTTTTTTATTTGTGTGAACCAAACCAATGTACAAAAGAATCTGTGTTTAATAAAGTAATTAAACATGATTTCAAGCGAGGTACTCTTGACAATACAAACATATCTTCCCTTGTCTAATTTTAACAGGGATTTCATCTTTTTCTGAGTGTATTTTGACGGGTATTGGATACAAACAGGTATCAGCGTATATTATGTAAATAGATGTTAAAAGAGCATGTGTGTATGGTGCTATATATCATATTGCTTCTTTGAGAAGCACATGTAATATCTGTAAAGAAAGGTATTCATTCTTTTCTATTTTTACTAATAATTCATTATCTTTATTCTTCTGACTTCGATGTATAAAAACTGAAATAGATCAGCTTACATGCAAGTGTGGATACACGGTGTATGTGTATAAAAAATCTTTTCTGCTTGAAATTGAAAAATTTGTTCGAACTTACTATGAATGGCAAGATGATTTATGTATTTCTTTTTCAAAGACGAAGCAATATCTGGTCACAGATCAATGAATCATTTCTCTTATCTGCCCTCCATAAAATCTGTAACAAGGGAAGAATTTCCGCCAGTTATTACTCCTGATTTCATCTTTCTTGTCACTCCTTCCAACTCCCAACTGTGAATTGGACACAAATTCATTGCGACAAGAATTACAGATGTACCACATGAAAGATCACTAAATGTAGTTATAGTTGCATGCTCACTGTGAAGTTTTCCTTCACAAAAACTGGGAAAGGGGTTACTATTTGCATAAAAAGAGAAACTATAAAGGTCACTACGACTGCCCTAGCTGATACAAAGTCATCACTCCATTCTGGGTTGGTGACTTGGGGCAAGATTATGAATTTCCTGCACGGACATTGGTTAATTACAGACTCCTGCTACCCGGCCACTAAGGCAGGGTCCTTCTCACGGAATCCCCATTGACCAAAAAAAAAAAAAAAACTGGCCATGCTTATCCCACTTTTTTCTTTGTTGACCTGTCCTTTAAAAGCTAATAAGGATGCAAATTAGAGTAGTAACAGGACATTGACACTGACGAGAATGGAAATAAAATTACACTGTACGGAACTTTGCAAATTATGAAAGTGTTTTAATTTGCTGATGGCTACTTTCCCGGTAGTTTTACTGACATTTCCTGTAAATTGACATGTAATTGGCAGAAAGTGCAGTCAACTTTTTACAGGTGTTCTGGACTAACACACACAAATAAACATACTCATATTGCAGACATCAAACATACATTTGTCCTTGTTTGAATCTTAGTTTCTCTTCAGAAATGCTTTAACACAAAGAACCCTGGCTGTTTAGGGATATATTCAATTATTTTTAGTAATGATAACTTTATCATGGGGGGGTGGTTGATGGGGAAGTTACTCGTAGGTCCATATCTGTTCACTAAAGTCAAAGTCTGACAGTTTTATGATTTATCAATGATATTTAAAGTTCAAGGATGAGAGCTGGGGTGGGTTGCTTTCCTGTGGCCATGACATTCTAAATTCGGTTGGGAGTGGTCCTACAAGAATCTGAGTGACTGCAGTGTGGTGACTCGAGTCTGTGGGAAAATCCTTGTGGGAAAAATGCTCAGATCAAGACACGAACTCTGGCCAAAGGAGTTTGGCAGCACTTATCATTTCTGCCATAATTTCTAAACAGTCTGAATCTGCTCATCAAGAAATTCTGTCACAACACCTACTGTAAAGTCTGGTGCATCCAAAGAGGAAACAAGGCATTGCATGCATTTTATTTGTAATGGAAAGAAATTGATGAGTTTGTTTTATACTTCTGCATATTGTCACCATTTTCAAGAACAGACAAAGAGGCCCACAAATCATGATTTTTTTCAAATTTCTTCATTTTTGGGGGTAAAATGAATTCATCTATTTGATGCCTACAACTTGGCGTAATAAATTTTTACCAAATGTACTAAAATCAGCCCAAATCATGATGATCTCCGTGTGGCAAAGTTCAACTACACTACATTTTGCATTTTCACGAAGAGACAAAGCTGTCTCCCAGAGGTAAAGCATTAATAAAGGGCAAAAGCACAAAGAGACAATGTCGACTCCGGAAATGTATACAAATTGTAACAATTTTGCATCTGGCACACATTATGGCAAAAGCGTTTACTGTGCATGCTATTTTCTAAGAGACAAAAGTCACATGAATTTTAGCATTTTCACAAACAAGGAAAAGTGTTTGTTTACTGAATAAACAATCTTCATTGATTTCTATAAATATCACTTTCATTTTGCATTTTTTTTGTCATTTAAGATCCCTTCTTTCATGAAAAAGAGACCAACTTCAAATGTGATTTTGTGAAACCTAGTTTTTAGTTTCCAGCGAGACTTTATCTCTTTGTAAAAATAGTGACGATATTCGGGATTATTTTATCATTCACACACTCAGAGGAAGCGCTTACATCCAATGGGACAATCACAGTAAGTTACACTGTTTTGACTTGTGCATGTGCGCTGGCTATATGATTATACCAATTCATCCATTAACCTAGATCGATCCTTCAACGTCTGGAACCTCAATTGTCTGGATCCTTCAGGATCCAGACAATTTGGGTTGAAAAGTGGACTCCTCTTTTCCTCATGATTTGACTTGTTTGGAAAACATTACACCCACATCTCCTCTTTTTGACAGGTGATCACATTTCAAAATCAATCGAAAAAATGAATCCTGTTTGCAGTGCGAGGGACGGATGGATGTGGAAAACCTACCCTACATGCCAGTGATCATGATTAGTATAGCTACTGTCATTCGATGCTGAAACTCACTGGGCAGCAGACAGAGTGAAAATTGAGATAAGATGTGTCTTGATGTGTCTTCCTTCCTCCTTGTGTGGGGAATGTCTCTTGGATACACCGGCTCTGTTCCTTGAACAGAAGAACAGCTTGTTCGGAGTCAGTATGTAGAATCAGTGTAACATAAAACGGACATAGCGTTCATTCATTAATGACCATGATGAATACATAGCCGATATAGTATTTCCAAAAAGGGGGCCAGGAATCTATATGAAAAGGGCGGCGGGGGGGGGTACCAAGAATGGAGGTGAAACCTGAACAAACTTTATGATCCTCTCATCTTGGTGAAAGTTGCTGTCTCCAAAATTACAGTAAAATGGAGAGGGGGTCGTGTGTCAGGTGTACATTCCTCCATATCTGCTACTGTCTCATAAACTGTGGCACAAGCCATTTTGTGACAGATGTAGAACATCTTTGAGTAATCTTTCCAAGTACACGTACATCCAGGGCAGTCCACGGGTAGGGTGATCATTAACTATTCACTCATCGCTTTCATAGCATGAGGTCATGTTCTACTTGAATAGCCAAGCTAACGACATATCTTCCTGGAGACTCAGGATGTACATATATTGTCATCCTGCAGTGCATATTATGTTCATGATGGCCTTCAATTATAATCAATAAAGTTGATTCATGATCTTAAATAGATTATCATTTCATTTGGTCTAAAATGTACAAATCTAGGCCGTGTTTACGATACCAATAACATATTAAATTAATTTTTGTTCTTTGTTTCTTATTGGAATTATTAAAGTCATGTCCTTTGAGACATGTTATGGACCCTTAGGTCTGACCAAGTGAGAAAAAAACAGTAAAAATTACAGTGAAATACAATTCTGATCATCAACATCAGGACTATTCAACAGTAAAATGACAAGGCCCATCCAAATACACAATATTTTAATAAATGTTGCCTCTGATGCTGGGTGCCTTTGCCAAGTGAGGAGACACGGTCTCCTTGAGAAGATGTTCTCCTCTTCATGCTCTCATTACAACATCCTCTTAGTTGGTTATTGTTCTGCTGTAATGAGGCAAATACTGCTTAAATTGTTTGTTCCGACATGTTCCTGCTCCCTTGGTAATTCATTTAATGCTACACAGTCTTACAGTGTTGGTTACTGAAAATGATCTCTGTTCAAAATACCTAATAAATCTGTGATAATCCATTTAATATGACTCCAGTTGATGGTTAATTTTTTCTCAGGAATGCTGATCTGGGCTGAGTTCTTTTCATTCCATGGTGTTAAAACATATTATTATCTTGGTTTTCTCTGCATATCCCATGGGACATAGCATTTGCCAACACAAGCACCCTTTGCATGAGTGGCACACATGTACGTTACAAGTTAGCACACTATTGTACCACACATGAGAAGCCAGCTGGCATCCAGAAATGAGGGGAGGGGGAGGAGCAAGACATGGATGAAAGGTGTCAGAGAGGCAGAATTTGGAACGGAAAAGCCATCCGACTTAAAGTGTACCTAATGAGAAAGGGCCGTTTGTTGCCTAGTGAGGACATCTCGAGGGGCCTACGTATTCCAGTGGAGAGTGCATCATGTGATAGTGATGGGACGAAAATGGCGGTACGTGTCTTTGCACAGGAAAGGATGCAGAATGGCAAAGTGTCTGATAAGCCTCTCTCTCTCTCTGACACCAGTGAGGCTACTCTTGTGCACTGAGCGCAAAGCAGGTCAGAATGCTTGCAAATTATCATCAGAAGCATGCTTAAAAGTGCAACATGCCCGTGCTGGTATACTACTTCTTGCACCTTTATCATTGATGCTATGCATAATGTATTGGGTGAAAACTTCAAATGTTAGTTGGATGGAGAGTAGTCCCTCCCTAACTGGTTCACTCACTCAACTTATTGCTTGACAGAAACTGTACATCAACATGTTGTCACTCTGCATCAAGCATGTGGCTACATTGCAGGTGGCTAACTCGTTACCCTTGGTGTTATTGGATTTTTTCTTCCAAGTGGCAATATTGATCTGACAAGCGACTTCACATCAGGAATGCAACTGAAGAAGAAAAAGGAAAACTCAACTCTGACGGGCTTCTTGCAGATGGTCAAATGATCAGGACAGGTTTCATTATGAAAACGTCAGCATCCTCCTCAATGCCACTTGGGACTGGACTGACTCCTTGCTGCCTTCTTCAATCCATCTGCACTTGTCATGATTCTTGTAAGAATGCACCCTGAAGATTCCAAGGTGTGTCATAAGAAGCATCCAACACATTGGGTGCAGCCTCTTAATCTCATTAATCACGGTGGTTACAAGTGGTGGTCATGCTCCAGTTTATACTTCTCTTAAGTGATCACATTCTGGGGGGGGGCCAAAGGAAGATGAGTTGAGCTATTTACAGTATGGCCTCCCCTGCCCTCTGACAACACAACATGGTTTTTGTTTCATTCCTACTAAAATATTTTTGAAGTAGAAAAGAGGCAGCAGAACGACTACGCTCAAGTAAAATAGAGCAAACACATATCATGCTGAGCTGAATAGGGGCGTTTCACAACAGTGTGCGTCTAAGGCACACTGTCGGGTCGAGAGATTTCGTGCATTGTAATTGGCCAATGCATTGCTAACTCTTGGAGGCGCACTATTGTGAATCGCCTGTATTAAAGTAATTATTCCCATTAAATCCAAAATACACATCTGGGTATGACTGATTAAATTCTCCAAAATAATGTAAACACATACTGAAATTGCACGATTTGTATCTTTTATGGTAAAAAAAAACAAACACAAACTCTTTGCAGCAGAACAATCAAACACCAAAATGAATGACACTTGTGATTCATACACATTTACTCAAATGGGCAAATGGTGGAAGGTCTTACAACAGTTTCTGTTCTAAAGGAAGTCATTTTTCCCACATTTTGCAGTTGCTACATCAAACCTAATCCTTTTAGCATGAGTTCAATTGCCTTGTTCACCGAGTTATAAACGAGTGGAGAATGTAGACATTGTAGACAAGACGGATGAGGTTTCTGGCAGTTTTTCTGTAGTCACTTTCAGGTTGTGGATGGGCTTATGTTACTGGACAAACGCTTATTCAACTGTAAGAGTCGTGATGAACCTTTTCTTCAAAAAATGAAAAGAAGTACACCAAGGTTGAAAAAATATGCAAGAATCCCTTTCTTGGAAAAAAAATTTTTAAGTAACTTCCAAGCAGATTCCTCAGCATTAGGAATAAAGTGACACAATTGCAGGGGTTACATTTTTCAATGCTTGTATCCGTTGTATCTTCATGTAAGTATAAAGGTAACATTACCAGACTACAGTATCCAGGGGAAGTCCCAAACAAACCCTCAGGAATCCAAGTAAATTATTTAATCATGTCACGTACACATGAAGCACAGGTCAGAGGATTTTCCCAGGTCCTCAAAGAGTGCGGTTACACGGTTATGCGCCATCATACCAGACTACCACGAATCCAAGCATTGTATCAACCGCCACTCCCTCCCCCATTTTCAGGCTCCACCCCTTCATCATCATTTACTGCAGCAGCATTGCCTTACTTTTTGTAAAGTTAATTTACTCTTGGCATTACTTTACTACAGTAAATGCATTGCTGCTACCGGGGTTGTGAAATTATATCCATGGATAGCACAAAAATACAGATTGTGCAGAAAATATTAGATTAACCTTTGGGTGGGAGTGGGACATGGAAAAATGTAAAAGCAACTAGGCCAGGAGAATGGCATATGGAATACATATTTGCATTTTTTCCATTCTGTCAACGCCACACAGGGTAACAACTTTTATCTTCAGCAAACTTCCAAAATAGCAAAAAAAGCCAAAAATGGAATCAGTACATTTAGGGGTCTAGGGCTACGTCTTGATTAAGCAAGGGGCTCCAGCTAAAAATAGCATGTTTCCTTATGGAAGCCATAAACTAGAGGCTTTATCCCATTTCTATATATGTGCGTGCGTGCACTTGCCAGCCAGACAGTTGTTTCTGACACAAAGTGAGGTGGACCTTTCAGTTATGTAAAACAGTAAACATATATCAATAATTGTTCTGAGCTTCCATTAATGAATTAGTGAGCCCTCTATTGACTACTTATGTTTATTTTTCCACAGGCGCCAGTCAGGGGGCCAGTGTCTTTCTGTTTACACACTGACACCTTTCAACAGTCTCCCTTTAAGTCCTCTTTTGTTAAAATTCCCAAGTGGGCAACCCAGGCACTTGTGGCACAACAGCTTGGAAATCTTTTGACAAGAGAGCAAAAGGTGGGGCTTCATAAACAAGGGTCTTGCTGGTTCAGGACTGCAATGGTGTGACTGAATCCAACTTGACAGGTGTCACCACGCGTGACACTTGGCACTAAGATGTGGGTTATATCTAGGACATCTGAAGTAAAAATTAGCATCAACCAGCAAATTTAAAACCAAAACAAAATCCAAAAACAAAAAGTCGAGATCACAAATCTTAAGTTTAGATTTTAAATAATGGCTTGTTGACGGAAAGGAGGGGAGAGAGGGATAGTACTTATATTTATTCAGTGTATATCCTTTCAGAATTTCAGCTAGAGGATTTGTCCAATAACATCCAAGATGACAATTCAACTTTTGTGCCTGAGGTGGGGGTGTACTATGCATGGCATCATTACAAGGGCGGGTAGACCACTGTTGGCAATATTCCAACCCACCCAAATTACCCGACAACGTCTGTTTAGTGGGTGCATGGGATGTGGCAGTCGCGATATCCACCTTGCACTTAGCAGTGACAGGAGCCTAGAGGAAGGGAGGAAACCACAGCAGGCAGGAAAGGCTTAGCGTTGAAGGAAGGCTGAGTGTGTGCAGAGCAAGGCAGGGACATTACAACAAGGCACAAGAAAAAAAAAATTAGCTTCAATACAATGGTCCGGGTGGCAATACTGAACAACGGCTGCATAATATTGCACTTTCCACTTCATTGATGAAAATTGAGTACTTACCAAC